TCCCTCCTTCCTTCTCCCTCCTTTTCTCCCACTCTCTCTTCCTCCCTCTCTCTTTCCTCCCTCTCTCTCTCCCTTTCTCCCTGCCCCCCCCTCTCTCTTTCCCCCTCCCCCCTCCCCTTTATTTCCTTTCACTCTTTTTAAAGCCCAGAGCTCCCTCGACTATTTCAGCGGAGCAGGTAAATGCTTCTCCAAATTGCGGGCGAGCATTAAACGAAGAAAGGCGGGTCATTTAGGCCGATTAGCTTTTAAAAATAGCCAGAAAGCAGCAGAGCCCACCTCCCCCTTCAGCCCAGCTTTTCTTTCTGATTTTTGGGGGGCCTTAGTTAGAAGTCCAGAGAAAACAGTTGGATAAAAAACAAGATTGCTGCCCTCTCACACGAGATTATTCCGGCCTTGATTGAAACAAGGCCACCTTTTCCATCCTTCCCTTCATTTCTTTGCAAAAATCATCCGTTTCCTTCGACTTTGCTTTCCTCCATTGCTGCCCGGACAATTTTCCCTCTCCCATTTTTTTTTTTCTCTCTCTCTCTCTCTCCTCTTGGCAAAGATGCCACGCAGCCTGTTGCTATTTTGTCCCCCAGCAAAAGAAAAAAAAAAGTGGGGGGGGGAATACACCTCCTTTTTCCTCCCTCTCTCCTTTCCTTTTTTTTAAAAAAAGTTCTCCCTGCGAAACATCCCGTTTTCTGCTTATCGGCCAAATCTCCCGGATGGATTCCCACCATGGATCAGACCAAAAGGGCTCACCTGAGCGCATCCCCCCCGCCCCCAATTTGCTCCAAGCCTCCTCCCAAAAGGCCAAGTGCCCCCCGAATGTCGTCCCTGCCCACCAGGAAAGGCGACACAAGAGGAGTGACGTGTCACACAACTCCTAAAACCAAATAACCAGGGCAGTGACACCCTCCAGTTTCCTGCAGCAATGTCATGCCCAGCTCGGTTGGCTTTTCCACCTTCCCTTCGCAGGCTGGTGCCAACGTCTCCCTGATTATTATTAGTATAATTATTATTTTTGCAAATGCTTCTGAGCTGACTTTGGTTATTTTGGAGGAAATCACTCTTCGCTTGGCATGATGGCCCACATTTTTTTTGGGGGGGGGAGGCTGGGACTGAAGATGGAGGGAAGATTCACACACACACACACACACTGTGGGCCCCTTTGCAATGTGGCAACCCT